CCACAGCAACTGCAGCAACATCCACAACAACAGCAACAACTTCTCCAGCTGCTGCAACAAATGCCAGCAAAATACCGAAGAGCATCTCGAGCAGCAGCTCCGCCTCGGCGCTGATCAACAAATTGAATCAGCAGGCAAAGGAGTCGCAGGAGCCAACAGCCGTCAAGAAGAACGAGATTGCGGTGACCAGCGAGACGTTGTCCGAGCGCAACACGCAGCAGCAGCTAACGGTGCACAGCATGCCGCTGGGCGCAGTCAGTAAATCCGTGGCCATGGCTGTATCCAATGCAGGAGCCCCCAGCAGCAGCAGCAGCAGCAGCATCAGCAGCAGCGGAACGAAGCCTCTGCAGGTGCAGGTGGCTGTGCCACCGCGCAAACCCATCAGCAGCGTGGCGCCCACCTCGATGAGCAGCAGCAGCAGCAGCAGCGGAGGCAGCGGCAGCAGCTCCATACCCAAAATGATCAACTACAGCCCCAAGGTGAATCGCGTGGCGCCCAATGTGGTGTCCAGCTCGGCGGCTGAGCTGCGACCCGCGTTGCCGCCCAAGCCCAGCAAAATGTCGCCCACTGAGCAGCCCAGCGAGTCGAGTGGAGCAACAGCAGCAGCAGCAGCAGCCACCACATCCGGCAAGGCTCAGGCACAAACAGCAGCGCCGGCCACGCCCAGCTTCGGGCTGCAGTCCCTCAACATCAATGACAATTTGCCCATAAAAGCCAAGCCGCTTACCATACGCAAGCAGCCCATATTCGAGCAGCCACCGCGGCTCAAGGCGCTGCCTGTGGGCGGCGGCCTGGCCAAGGCCGGGGCGCAACAGCTGCCGCGTAAGGCAGAGGCCGGGCAGCAGCAGCAGTTGCTGCTGCAGCAGCAGCAGCCGAAGCAGCAGGAGCCTAGCCGCAGCACACTCGACTCGCCGCAGCACTCGCCCAACAGCAACTCGCAGAGCAGCTCGAGCGTGGATGAGCCCGATCGCCTGGAGCGCACCCAGGCGGAGCTGAGCAACAGCGGGGGCAGCAGCAGCCTCAAGGAGCGCACCAGCAGCAAACCGAAGCTGGGGCGACGCGTAAGCTTTGATCCGCTGGCGCTGCTGCTCGATGCCAGCCTGGAGGGCGAACTGGAGCTGGTCAAGAAGACGGCCATGCAGGTGGCCAATCCCAGCGCGGCCAACGACGAGGGCATCACAGCGCTGCACAATGCCATCTGTGCGGGCCACCTGGACATAGTCAAGTGAGTGGAATTTTGCCATTCTTTATCTATATATATGTATATATTTATATGTCCACCTTATCCACCTCATCTCTCGTTCAGATTCCTTGTGCAATTTGGCTGTGATGTGAATGCGCAGGATTCGGATGGCTGGACGCCGCTGCACTGCGCCGCCAGCTGCAACAATCTGAACATGGTCAAGTTCTTGGTGGAGAGCGGCGCCTGTCTGTTTGCCTCGACGCTGTCCGATCATGAGACGCCGGCGGAGAAGTGCGAGGAGGATGAGGAGGGCTTTGATGGCTGCTCCGAGTATTTGTACAGTAAGTTTGTATGCCCTGTGGAAATAGCTGACTCTAAGCTGACTCTCCCTCTCTCTCTCTCTCTCTCTCTCTCTCTCTCTCTCTCTCTCTCTTTAGGCATTCAAGAGAAGTTGGGCATCTTGCACAATGGCGAAGTCTATGCGGTCTTCTCGTACGAGGCGCAGAACAGCGACGAGCTGAGCTTCCACGTGAACGAGCCGCTGATCGTGCTGCGCAAGGGCGACGATGCCGAGAACGAATGGTGGTGGGCGCGCAATGCAGCGGGCGAGGAGGGCTACGTGCCACGCAACCTGCTCGGGGTAAGTTATATGACATATATATGGCGCTATGCTTGGCCAGCGGCTAATCAGCTACGTCTCTCTCTGTCTCTGTCTCTGTCTCTGTCTCTCCTGCAGCTATATCCACGTGTGCCGCCGCAGTCGCCGCATTTCAGCGATTAGCAGTTAATACGCTACACCATACTCAAGCGCAAGGCTGGCCGACTTGTGCAGAAGCGCTATATATCCAAGTATATATAGTGAGCTAAGCAGCAGCAGCCGCAGGAGCAGCAGCAGCAGCAGCAGCAGCAGAAGCAGCAGCAGAAGCAGGAGCAGCAGCAGCAGCAGCAGCAGAAGCAAGAGCAGCAGCAGCAGCAGCAGCAGCAGCAGCAGCAGCAGCAGCAGCAGCAGCAGCAGCAGCAGCAGCAGCAGCAGCAGGAGTAGCAGCACATTCCGGGCACGTGCCAACAGCTTCATCTCGCAGGACCAAATCTTAGTTACGAGCCGAGCATTATTTATGACAGCCTCAACAATAATTCTTTCCGGTTTACTTTTTCGTTATTTTGTTGTTTTGAGAAAAAGCCACAAGAAGGAAACCAGACGCAGTCACATACGCCCGCCCACCCATTCACTCACGCACACACACCCACACACACGCCCACATATGGCTACACATATGGCAGACGTCGTGTGTGTGTGTGTGTCTGTGTATGTGTGTGAGTGTGAGTGCTGCAAGTGCGCAAATGTGCGCCCATCAACAGAATGTGCAGCGCCTGAGGCAGCAGCTATTTATTATAAAAGAAGAGCAGCTACAATTAGGCAGCAGCCTGACTGCCTGCCAGCCTGCCAGCCTGTCTGCCATATCCTGCTGCCTCGTCCTGCTGCCTGTTCGTTCTGCTCGTTCGCTCGTCTTCTGCTTGCCTCCTGCACACACGTACAATAAATTGAATTTCGCTTAAGCCCCCCTGCTTAGATTAAGGCCTAGACTAATAACATAAGCAATACACACCCAAGCCTTGTCCCTTCCATCCCCTCCAAGCCGACCAAACGAACAACTCGGCCACAAATTGCTTTTATGCATTAAATGAAAATTTGCAAAATTTCAAACTTCAAATTGAAAATAAACTTATGCACTTTGTGGCGTGCAGCAGACGAGTTTGTTAATTGCCAGCAAATGAGTTTTACTATAAGCTGTTAGTATTCGAAATCGATATAAAACTTTGCATTCATTTTTAAACATTTAGAAACAACAAGAAGAAATCGAATGTGATTTTTGTATTGTAAAAAGCGAAAAGAATATTACTTAAAATGTCGTTAATATTGCCTAATAATGTACAGTACTTACTACCTATGACTAAACAAGCCGCTTCGTTATCAATTTACGATTCCTAATAATACATATTAAAATTTAGCTTATATATATTCGAATATAAATTAATATACATATTTATATGTACGTAATTGCCTAATGCCTACCACCTACTCCTAGCATTAACTAAAATACAAAAAAATACAAATCAAACACACAATAAATTCTAATTGGAAATTGCAAATAGTTTTATTAAAAGGGACACGAATATCCGGTAAAACATGGATATGGCCGAGAAACAGAATCACTAAGGATCTCCAAGGATCATTTTACATACCATTTTGCACTCGTGGGAAACAATAGTATTGATTGCCATTCAAGGATTTCAAGAAAAACTGTCAAAAACCCAAGAATTCTTTTTTTTTCTAATTTCTTCAAAATTATAGTGTTGCCCTCTAGAGTATGCAATGGAAATGCACTTTTCGACATCGCATCACAAAAGTATGCAACAGTTTTATATCGGTTTCTTGTGGCGACACGTGCTGCCCTTGAGAGTATGCAATAAAAACGCGTTTTCGACGTTACAGCACAAAAGTATGCAACACTTTATATAGTTGGTTGTGAACTTTGCTAAAATTTCTCCCAATTATTAGCCAGATCTTATACCATTCAATTTCTGCCCTTTTATAAGTAAAAAGTCGGTTTAAATGTATTTCTGTAATTTTATTTCAATTAATTTAATTACAATGGATAATTTAATTAGTATATTTTTGAAGTGAGCCCAACTGTATCTGACTTATGCACTCGAGTGTAACGCAAGATAAAGTATTAAAATAGGTTTGATGGAAACACAAATTACACACATGCATCTCATATAATTATTAAGATTAAACAATTCGCTTTCAGTCGAGTCATTGCAACTAGTTGCAAGTGAGAATTCGAGAGGTGCTGAATTCACACACTCTGTACATCTTTTGGATTGCATTGGTATGTGTGAATAAAATAATTAATATTCAACTGGAATACGTCAATTACTAATAGGCTGATTTATAAAAACATCTTAAGTAACTCTTATCAAGCTGCTAATTGAGACTTGGGAAAAATTATAATTAGTACTAATAGACCCATAGCCTTACAGGGTATAGAGACGGTGTAACAGGCAGCATTAGAGAACTGCGCACTAACTGAACTGCAATCGGAAAATGGCTCTAATTAATTTGAATTGAATGTTTAATTGGTAACAAAAGATAGTGAGAAACGTAGAGCAAACAGATGGGGTATATAAATACAATATTAGTTGAGTATAAATAAATATTCTACTTCTGAGCCCCTGAGTGGTCGACTCAGTCTTTCGTCCACTGCGTCTCCAAAGAGTCTTTCGGATTGGCTGGTCATCTGTTTCTACCTCGGCGAAGATCAAAATCCATTAAATTGATTCGCAGCTGTTGACAACGTTTGTTGGCCTTCATAAAGATTCATAAACAAAAATTGTTCTTCTCTAGCTGATAACACGCATGTTCAATAGTTTCAATATGCGTTGAGCTCATCTCGCTTGATAACACGTATTTGTGATACAGCCGAATCATGGGGCATTTTGAAGGACTGCGCCACATGAACATACCCTGTGAAATAATATAACGAAAATACTCTGTAATTGTTCATATATGTCATAGCTGTCAAGATTTGATTGTTTAATTAAGTTGCAATAGTTGAGTATTAAATAATTTACTAAGAGCATACTTACTGTTAAATACCCCGGTAAATACTTACCTTAAATACTCTTTTGCCCATAGCATAGTCAAACAATCTTATCGATGTCTTACAGGGTATTCGAATTGAGTGACAAATATACCTACCGCATTTCATAGCCCCACACATATTAAATGTGAGACCCATTGCCTGCAGCATCTCAGTCGTTTGTGAATCGCGACGTGAATCGGTCGAGCGAAATTTGTAAAATTGAATACAAATTAAACATTGAGTTGCATAAATATACAAAAGTGAATATTAAAAGGCGAACTGTGAACTGTGCTCAAAAGTAAACTTGAATATCGATAGTCGATTTAACAAATAAACTTCAAACTGGATTTTGGATAAAGCATAAATCGGAATAAATACAAGTCATTCTTGGAAGACCAAGATAGAAATATTTACCGGTAGCTCCTAAATCATAATGACATACAGAGAAATAGTAAATGAATAAATAGTAAATATTCAAAGTAAACAATGAACAAGCAACTTTAATACAAATATTAAAACTACCTCAGGTTTACATGGCAATTGAAGCAATGCAAACATTAGCTAATTATTACTAATATATAAAGCTAATAGTGAAGCGACTTTACAGGGAATACGGAATGCACTTGCATTTGCAAACTGCGCACTTACTGAGCTGCAAATGCAGTCGAGTCGAAATCCATTTGCTGTTTTTGCTGCAATGAATTTGAATTGCAATGAATGTTTAATTGATGTGAAGAGACAGTGATAAATGTGAAATCAACTGATGAGCTTAACATATATTAGCTGAGCTGAGTTTGTTCGACTGTTAAGCTTAGATAGCTTGAGAGATAGAAAGAGAGAGTAAGACAGAGAGAGAGAGAGAGAGAGAGATGTTGGTGAAGTCGTTTAAACAGGCTTGCTATAAGTCTCTAAATTAAAGTAAATGACAAATATAGCTGTAAATGTTCCTTGCCCAGTTTAATGCCTATTGGGTGTCTATATAATAAACAACAAAAGATAAGGCGCTAAACTGACTTTTCTTTTCGTTGTCGTCATTCGGAAAGCAAACCGACTGTAAATATATGTGAAAATCAATATGTTATAAAATAAAATAAAAAGTGAGTGCATCAGGTGAAGAAAAGAATCCTATATAAATTGTATAAACTCACATTGAGTGCAACAAAATGAAGCTGCAGTCGTTGAGTCTTGTTTTACTGTGCTGCGCGCTGGCTGCACTGCCACAGGCGAGGCCAGCGAACATTCTGGCTGTGTATGCCTTCCCAGGTAAGCTTCACTGTACTGCAACTGCAGCTGAGAGTCTACTAACTGTTCGCTTGTGACTCAGGCAAAAGCCACTTCATGATGCACACGGCGCTGATAAAGGAGCTCGTGGAGAGCGGACATAATGTGACGATGATCACGGCCTTTTCGCTGTCCGCTCAGCAGCTCGGCGGCAACTACACGGAGCTGCTCATCGAACCAGTCTACGACTTTTGGCATGATGGTGAGAGAGAGAGAGAAAGAGGGAGAGAAAGAGAGAGATAATAATTAAACATTGCAAGACTTACGAAACCTTCTCGATTTGCCACAGTGAAGCTTAGCTTTGGCGTGCAGCATCTGTTCGACCTGACGCAGATGAAGAACTATGATTTCCTCAAGATGTTGGAGATTATTGGACTGAAGACCACGGAGCATGCGCTACGTCAGCCCAAGGTGCAGGCCTTGATCAATGCCCGGCAAACGGAGGGCGTGTTCGATCTGCTGCTCGCCGAGCAGTTCTACCAGGAGGCCTTCCTGGCGCTGGCCTACAAGTACAACATACCCATTGTCACCACCAGCACGCTAGGGTATGAGAACCATATGAGCCAAATGATGGGTCTGATTACGCCGTGGTCCTTTGTGCCGCACGGCTTCATGCCCTTCACCGACCGCATGTCCTTCATGGAGCGAGTGCACAATACGTACGTCTCGCTCTACGAGGACTTTGATCGCCTGCTGAGCTACTTTCCCAAAATGGACGCCATCACTGAGCGGTACTTTGGTCAAGTTTTGGGTGAGTGCCAACCCATTGCAGTAGACTTAACTCTCTGATTCCACTGCCCGTTTGGCCCGCAGCTGAAGTGCCCAAGGTCAGGCACATGGAGACGCAAATCTCGGTCATGCTGCTCAACAGTCACGCGCCGCTGACGACGGCACGTCCCACTGTAGACGCCATGGTGCCAGTGGGCGGCATGCACATCTATCCGCCCAAGCCGCTGCCCGCAGACATGCAAAGTTTCCTCGATGCGGCAACAGATGGCGCCATCTTCTTTAGCCTGGGTAAGGATTAAGCCAAAACTCCCCTGACTTACTCCGAAATAACCATCCTTTCTGCTTCCAGGCAGCAATGTGCAGAGCAAAGAGATGCCCAGAGACATGCTGCAGCTGTTCCTCAGGGTCTTTGGCTCCATGAAGCAGCGCATCCTGTGGAAATTCGAGGATGAGTCCATTGACCAGCTGCCGCCCAACGTCATGATACGCAAATGGCTGCCCCAGGCGGACATCTTGGCTCACCCCAACGTGAAGGTCTTCATCACTCACGGCGGCCTCTTTGGCACCCAGGAGGGCGTGCACTACGCCGTGCCCATGCTGGGCATGCCCTTCTACTGCGACCAGGTGAGCGACTTAGTAGTCAAGTAGAAGATTTGTTTGCCTAAAGCTCCAGTCATTCGCAGCATCTCAACATGAACAAGGCTGTGCTGGGTGGCTACGGCATTAGCCTGCACTTCCAGTCCATCACGGAAGATCTGCTCCGCGACTCGCTGCTGCAGCTCATCCACAATGCCAGCTACGCGGAGAACGTGCAGCGCGTCTCTCGCATCTTCAGGGATCGCCCGATGTCGCCTCGCCGCAGCGCCGTCTACTGGATCGAGTACGTGATTCGCCACAAGGGCGCACTTCACATGCGATCCGCTGGGCTCGACCTGCGCTGGTATCAGTTCTATTTGCTGGATGTGATTGCATTCCTGGGAGTCCTCGCACTGGCCGCCCTCTTCCTGCTCCTGCTGGCCATACGCCTGCTCCAGGGCAGCGGCAGGAAGCAGAGGAAAGCGAAAACCAATTAAGTCAATGATCCATTATAATTTCTAGCTTTAATTACTGCTTGGACAGCAGATTAGTTTTAATATAGCTGCATATATATATTATAGTATAAACTTATGTAGACACGCTGATAAGACGAGCGCGTCAGTCAGTCGATCATAAATCACATCCCTCCCATTTTCCATTTGCCATAAACATTTTCAATACCAACATGAAAATACCCTGTAAAAAAAATCTGCACTACTTCTCTTAATACTTTTATAAATTATCTCTTAATTCTTTTATATTTAATTCTCTTGAATTGATTACATATACTATCGCAAACTAAGTGAGCAGAGTGTGAAAGTACCCTGTAATCTATATTGTTATAGAATCTTGTTATTTTATGAAACACGAATTAACCTGTCTAAACAATTCCTATTTGATAATATAATAAGCACTCAACCTGACTTATAAATGCCCCGTAATTGCTTTATAATAAAATTAAATAAATAAGTATATCATATTTGTATATCACACAAATATTTCAACAAATATTTGCTTAAAATTTTAACCACATTTAATTGTTTTATTTTTGGCAACAATATAAATCACATTCAACTTTCTAGGGGATTAGCAGACGAGTAAACAAAAAATGTTTCTTCATTCCATGCTGCGATCTTTCTGGAACATTATCTCTATAACTATTTTCTTATTAATCAAAACCCATAGATGTGGGAATTCTCGAGTCCCTCGGGAATGATAACCCGAAATGATAGACCGTATCGGACATTTGCCCCACGTACACGACTCTAGGTGCGTGAAGATCATAATCTCTTAAGTAACGCGCGTGTCCACTATAGCCCTAGCATATCGCTCATGATAACACAGATTCGTATTGAGTCGTCGAGGCTTTAGTCTAGGGGTACACCCTTATGCATACCCTGTAAAAATTGGCCCCATCAAATACTACCGACAGTGAAGTTAATTAGAAAATACCCTATAATTTATATAAATGTAAATCATATATAGAAATATAGATAATTATAGAAATAGATAAGTTAATTAAATTAGAAAATACCCAGTAATTTTTATAAATGTAAATCATATAAGGAATATATATACTTATAGAAAAAGAGGAAGATTTGATTTTTAATTGACTAGCAGCTGCTTTAGACAATTTACTCAGCAATCAAGTCAACTGTTTAATACCTATTATACATAGATTTCTATCATGCCAAACCCTAGTGATTTAACCTAATCCAAGTCCATTCCAACAAACAAGCCATCATATCTTATCATTGTCTCGCAAGGAATTAGAACGCCGAATTTCATCACGTCGCATTTGCCGATAAGTTCCCTGGGGTACACATGGAAGACCCAGTGCCAGCTACGTCTCAGTCGTTTGTGAATCGCGGCGTGGATCGGTCGACCGAAATCTGAGCAGCAGGCAAATTGAAAATGGTGTGCAAATAAATTCAACTTAAACTAATTTAATCAAATAAAAAAATTGAGTGCCTAACTATAAAGTGGGACAGAGATGCTTAGGAAAAAAACCTCGATGTTAGCCATGAATATTTATCAGCCTAAAACTGGATATGGCCTAAAACAAATATCGAACTAAAGACCTTACGCTTAGCCGTTTACAGCGTAGTCTCTCTGCCATTCTCTCTGTCTATCTCTTACTCTTACTCACTCTAATCGTCTCTTTTTCTTTCGGTAAACGTTTGTTAACTTTTAATGTTCTTTGCTGTAAAATAAATAAAATAAAATACAACTAGTGCAAAATAATATATAGCCCCTGATATACCAGAGAAGAATTCATTAAGATTCAAAAATTAAAGTGAATTATTTAAAGCACGTAGGCGATAAAGAAATAGCATCGTAATCACCAGATAAGCGATAGGCATACTATTAAGTGATTATATTGAATTAGATAAGTTAAGTTCTTTGGGTCAGCAATAAATAATCTCTTTTACCAACAGCAAGCGAAACACCTCTTGAAAGTCCTCCTGCTGGGCCTAGTTGCCCTGCAGAACATGGAAATCGGAGCTGGTTACCGTATTCTGGCTCCCTTCATATTTCCCGGCAAAAGTCACTTTATGATGACGAATGCGATTATCAGAGAATTGGTGCATAGGGGACATGAGGTGACATTCATTACGCCATTCTCATTGGCTCAGGAGAACCTGGGTGCGAACTACACCGAGATTCTTATACCCCAATACAATTTTTGGACCGCAAGTAAGTGTATTTTGACTTTGAATGTAACTGGAACTAATTCCCAGTACTTTTCAGTTTTGGGCTCCTCAGTCAAGTCAATACTGGACATGACAGATATCAACACAGTTACATTCCTAAAAATGGCCTATGAGATGGGATTGGGAAGCACAAACTTTGCATTTGAGCAGAAGGAATTTCAGAATCTAATCACTGCCAAAGACAAGGTGGGGAAATATGATTTACTTCTGGCCGAGCAGTTCTTCAATGAGGGTGCCCTCATCCTGGGTCACCTCTATCAAATTCCAATTATAACCGTCACAACCTTCGGCTACTCCAACTATCTGAGTTCCTTAACTGGAATAATTAATCCCTGGTCGTATGTGCCTCACGGATGGAAGCCCTATACGGATCGAATGTCGCTCACAGAACGTATCGACAATGTATTCAGCTCGTTCGCTGATGAACTGCTGCGCTACTTCTGGTATTATCCTGGCCAGGATAAAATACTACAGAAGCATCTGTCCAAACAGTTCAAAGATTTGCCAACTATTAAGCAACTGGAACAGAATATCTCAGTTATTCTTCTGAATAGCTATGTGCCTTTGGATGCACCTCGGCCTATATCGTTCAACATGATTCCAGTCGGCGGACTACATATAAAGCCCGCCAAGCCTTTGCCCACAAATATCAAAAAATTCTTAGATGAAGCCAAGGATGGAGCCATCTACTTCAGTTTGGGTGAGTTTCAAAGCCTTATTCCTTGCAATGATCATGATTAAAATATCTCTTTCATAGGTTCTCAAGTGCGAAGTGCGGATCTTCCACCCGAGAAGATCCAAATGTTCCTTGGGGTATTTTCCAGCCTTAAGCAACGCGTTCTCTGGAAGTTTGAGGATGACAAATTACCTAATCTTCCTCCCAATGTGATGGTCCAGAAATGGATGCCCCAGACTGATATATTAAACCATCCAAATGTCAAGGTGTTCATATCCCATGGCGGTCTCTTCGGATCTCAGGAGGCGGTTCATTATGGTGTGCCAGTTCTCGGCATGCCTGTCTATGCCGATCAACATTTAAATATTAAGAAAGGCGTAGATGCAGGCTATGCTCTAAGCGTAAGCTATCGCACTGTTACGGAGACGGAGCTTCGTTACTCCTTGACTGAGCTCCTGGAGAATCCCAAGTATAGGGATAACATGAAGAGAGCTTCCCACATCTTCCGTGATCGACAAATGAGTGCAATGGATACTGCTATATACTGGATCGATTATGTCATTAAGCATCGTGGAGCGCCACACTTAGTGTCTGAGGGCGTCAAGCTGCCCTGGTATCAGTTCTATCTCCTAGACATCGTTGGCATCGCGTTAGCTGTAATTCTGTTGCCCATTTTGGGTCTGCTTCTTCTTTGCCGCAGCTTCAAGTCAGCGAAGAAGTCCAAGCCAAAATCTAAACGAAACTAGGAATAGATCCTAAAATCACTCCGAAACTATCAGCCATAAGATACTTTAGGTATGTTAATTAAATTGAATAAACTTATAGTTAGAACAATTTTCAAAGTAATAGAGTTTTTCTTAAAGGCCTATAACGCCTTAGTTATCACATTTGTCAGTTACTTGTGAAATTCAAAATCTATTAAAAAAATTATGCGAGCCTTAACCTTGGAGAACAAACTTTTAACACTGCCAAAATGGAAAAAATCGGATCAATTTTAAAGATATTTTTAATAGACACGTAAGCGATAAAGTCAACAAATGATACTGCTCATAATTTTGTGGAAATAGATAAGATTTCAAATGGTTCTAAAAATTAGAAATATATTGGTTGCTACTAGAGCAATTCCCATAGCGATAAGAATATGAATTGTCATGGCTTGGCAATCGCAAAAGTAAATAAATTATCTACCTGACCTACAGCAACAGTGATTTGGCTTGAAGTTCCTGCTGCCGGCTCAGATGCAGCATGCCGCATCTCGCATCCGGTCTTCTCGGGAGACATTGTGTATGCCGTTCCCATGCTGGGGATGTCCTTCTATTTCGTTCAGGAGAGCCATTTGTAGAGATCAAATAGATGATTAGAATAGATTGGAATCGAATGAAAGCATCTCAATATGAACAAACCCGTTCTGGGTTGATTCGACCCATTATTATTTCTAGCTTTAATTGTTGCAGTCAATCAAAATAATTGTTTATATATGGGTACACAGATTTACAAATACAATTTATAAGTAGTATATAAGTAGTAGTATAAGTAGCTCGTATAGACACGCTTACTATGGCTGATAACATACAATATATGTAAGTATCAAACGACGTTTTATATTCCTAGCACAGCTCCGATCATGATACACTCCTAAATTGTCGACTCAGCAAAAACAAAGCTGCATGGAGAAAGTATGAAAATACCCTGTAATTGTTATACACACATATTTATTTATGCATATATTATATATGTTTTATATATTTATATTTAAAAATATATTTCACATTTAAGTGAATGATAAATGCCGAGTATTAGGGAATTTACCGCTTGACCGATAATTACCTTGTAATATTTAAATTGAAGAGCTCTAGCAAAATGCATTTCGCCCACTACTCATCGTAATGAGGTCTTATCGCCGGCATACAGGGTATTTATTTAGCTATTTTCATCACAGGCGCATCAGCGATAAGTCGCCTGGAGTCCATATATAAATATTACATGGAAGACCACGTTTCAGTCGTTTGTGCATCGTAGCGTGGATCGGTCGACTGCAACCTGAGAAAATTGTGTAGTGCAGCAAGTGAATTGAAAATGGTGTGTAAATAAAGTAAACCTGAGCAAAATTAATCAAACAAATTGACTGCCCCACTGCAAAGTGCAGCAGACCAATGAAAAGTATTTAAAACTAATATTTATCAGTTAAAAACAAGGTTTAACAAAAATTCGCATGTTAACAAAAGGCTGCATACTGTAATAAAATTTTAAAAGGCATAGACATGCAAGTGAATTATTATACGCACGTGATAAGGAAAATGCAGCGTAATCGCTAGACAATAGCTAGCACTGAAAAATACAACTGCCTGAGTAGTTGTCGACATTGAACAAGATTCGCATTAAGTTGTAGAGAGATAAGTCTTGCAGCTACATTAATAACAATATCCATTTGATCTACAGCAACCGAAGAGCATCTTGAAAGTCCTCCTGCTGGGCCTAGTTGCCCTGCAGCACATGGAAATAGGAGCTGGTTACCGTATTCTGGCTGCCTTCTTCTTTCCCGGCAAAAGTCACTTTATGATAACCGACGCGATTATCAGAGAATTAGTACATAGGGGACATGAAGTGACCTTCATTACGCCATTCTCATTGGCCAAGGAGAACCTGGGTGCGAACTACACCGAGGTTCTAATACCGCAATACGATATATGGGGCGAAAGTAAGTCTAATTAAAGTAATTATAACCAACTTTTAAGCAAATCTTACTTCTCAGTTAGGGACCTAACCAATACCAAGTCACCACTGGACATGACAGACACCAGTACTATCACATTCCTCAGGGCAGCCTACACAATGGGGTTGAGCAGCACGAACTTTGCATTTGAGCAGAATGAAGTTCAGAGCCTAATCAATGCGAAAGACAAGGTGGGGAAATATTATTTACTTCTGGCCGAGCAGTTCTTCAATGAGGGTGCTCTCATCCTGGGTCACCTCTATCAAATTCCAATTATAACCGTCACAACCTTCGGCTACTCCAACTACCTCAGCTCCCTAACGGGCATCATCAACCCGTGGTCTTATGTGGCTCACGGCTGGAAGCCCTATACAAACCGCATGTCGCTCATGGAACGTATTGACAGCGTTTTCTGTTCATTTACGGAGGAAATTATGCGGTACTTCTGGTATTATTCTAAACAGAACGAGATATTACAGAGACAACTGTCCAGGCAGTTTAAGGATCTACCAACTATTAAGCAATTAGAACGCAATATCTCAGTCATTCTCCTGAATAGCTACATGCCCTTGGAAGCTCCTAGGCCTTCAGCGTTCAACATGATTCCAGTCGGCGGACTGCATATAAAGTCCTCCAAGCCTTTGCCCACAAATATCAAAAAGTTCTTAGATGAAGCCAAGGATGGAGCCATCTACTTCAGTTTGGGTGAGTTTCAAAGCCTTATTCCTTGCAATGATCATGATTAAAATATCTCTTTCATAGGTTCTCAAGTGCGAAGTGCGGATCTTCCACCCGAGAAGATCCAAATGTTCCTTGGGGTATTTTCCAGCCTTAAGCAACGCGTTCTCTGGAAGTTTGAGGATGACAAATTACCTAATCTTCCTCCCAATGTGATGGTCCAGAAATGGATGCCCCAGACTGATATACTAAACCATCCAAACGTGAAGGTTTTCATATCCCATGGCGGTCTCTTCGGAACTCAGGAGGCGGTTTATTATGGTGTACCAGTGCTCGGTATGCCCGTCTATGCGGATCAGTTTTTGAATATAAAGAAAGGCGAAGCTGCTGGCTATGCTCTAAGTGTAAGCTACCGTACCGTTACGGAGAAAGAGCTGCGCTATTCCTTGACTGAGCTCCTGGAGAGACCCAAGTATAGGGACAACATGAAGAGAGCGTCCCTCATCTTTCGTGATCGTCCAATGGGTGCAATGGATACTGCGATGTACTGGATCGATTATGTCATTAAGCATCGTGGGGCACCACACTTAGTGTCTGAGGGCGTCAAGCTGCCCTGGTATCAGTTCTATCTCCTAGACATCGTTGGCATCGCGTTAGCTGTAATTCTGTTGCCTATTTTGGGTCTGCTTCTTCTTTGCCCTAGTTTCAGATCAGCGAAGAAGCCCAAGCCAAAATCCAAACAAAACTAGAATAAGATTTTCTTCATATTTTTTTTGATAACTCAAAACGATTTATTGATAAACAAATGTGTGCTATGATTATGTCAATTAGTTTGAATAAATTTATAATTTTGTTTCATTTTTCAGATGTTTTAATACAAATTTGAGTGTTGTGTAAACATTTTACAAGGGACATTTTCCGTCTCGCGTTAGGGCAACAGAAAGCTGCCCAAATAATTAATAACAAAGCTTACGAGAAGCGTACAAAGACCAGCGACAGCTATCTGAACTGGGCGCTGAAATACATATTAGGGGTACTCATAATTTCCGATCTTACTGGGTCAAAAATATACTTTTCAAATGTCAACGAATACAAAAGCTGGCGCGTGTAGAAGTGTGTGTGTGTGAGTGTGTCGTGTGTCGTGTGTCGTGTGTCGTGTGTCGTGTCTGAGTGTTGGTTGTGCCGAGCGCGCTCTACTGGCTGATGATCATGGACTTCTTTACCTTCTTCTCCTTCTTCTCGTGGGTGATGGTCACTTCCTCTGTGTTTAAGAAATAGTTTTAAGTTGAGATTTAGTTGAGCTGAACCTGATTTGGAATTTTATTGTATTGTTTACCTTCGAACTTCTGGGGCAACTGCTTCACAGTCTCAATAGTCTTGACCGTCTTCTCGCCAGGCTCAATGATCTCCTCCTCGTATTCCTCAATGATCTCCTCCTCGTCGGTGTCATTCGGATTGTTGCTGGGCACCGGATCGTACACAGTCTTCACTGCCTTCTTCACAATACCCTCGGCGGTGACGGTGGTGTAGTGATACTCGGTGCCGCCCTCGATCTTGATGGTCTCCACAGTGGTCACATCACCCGGGTTCTCGGAGGGCACAATCTTCTTGGTGCCCGACTCGGACTTGAGCTTCTTGGTGGTGGTCACGTTCTTGTGCTTCTCAGCATCCTTTAGGGCCTTCTTGTACTGCTTGATCTCCTCCTCGGTGAGCTCGACTTCCTCCTCCTCGTAAACGGTCTTCGAGGTGGTGATCGTCTTGCCCGACTCCAACTCCGTCGAGTAGGTGTACTCAACGCCGCCGGGCACACGCTTCGAGGCCACGGTTGTGGTATCGTTCTGCACAAAGTCGGCTGGTGGTGGTGGTGCCGATGACTTGGGCTTCTTCTTCTTCTTGCCGCCATCACCACTGCTCTGGGTGACGGACTTGATGCTCTGCTCCTGCAGCGAGTTCTTGCGCACGGTGCGATTGTTCTCGGTGATCTCAATGTTCTGGCTCACGCGACGCGTCTCCTCAATGGTGGTGTCCTCACGATAGTTGGACTGCGAGTCATTGACATTCTTCTGCACCTTCTGCACAATGCGGCGCGATGAGGACTCCGTCGAGTCGGTCGAGTCCACCGACGACTTGCGGGTGACATTCTTCTTGGTCTTGTTCACCTTGGTGGTGGTGTTCTCATTGACTTCCGTGGGCACAGAATCATAGAAGGTCTTGGTACGCATGCTGCGCGAGCCATCCTCGTTGATGGTGGTGTAGACCTCCTCGTAGCCGCCCTCGATGGCGCGAGTCAGCATGGTGGTCTTGTCATCGATGCGTATTTCCTTGCCCAGGCGCTGCTTGATGATCTTCTTGTTGGCCTGCTCCTTGGCCAAGTCCTCCTCGCTGACGGGCTTCGGGTCCCAGAACGTTTTCACTTGGGTCTTGACCGTGCCATTCGGCTGCGGCGTCGTGGTGATCACCTCGTAGCCGCCATCGATCAGTTTATACTGGGTGCTGGCACCGGTCGCCTTGTCATACTCAATTTTGCCATCCTCAATGTCGGCGGAGGTCAGGAGCTCTTCGTGTAGGGTAAAGAAGTTGCAATTGGTGTAAATGTATGTGTGTTTCGTGTAAGTGTATTGCATATACATAGAGGCTACAATAAATTGGGTAGCGCAGCTAACGAGCTGGGTCGGTGTGTGTTTGTGTGTGGCAAGCACTTGTGGCATGTTATATATAGATACGAGTTTTGTTTCATGTTTAGAAAAGGTTTTCTTATGCTAAGATATTGCAAATTAGTTTCATCTAAGGCGCATTTGGTAAATTATGGTTTTGTTTTGTGTTTTTGTTTGTTGTTTTAAAATTCGTTTAAGCAACATTTGTACAGCATTTTCTTGTCGTTTTACTTTTGTTATGATTAGGGCTCTACTGTAGTTGTACTTGCTGGGCCTAGACATGCACCGGCTCCGGCAGATGTTCAGATTCGTTGTCGCCATCCAGTCGCAGGGTGAATCGGAGCAGCGCTGTCCTCGTCGCCAGTTGCGGCAGGCAGCTGTAGTGCATCAGCAGTTGCAGTAATTGTTATTTAAACTTACGCGACGCCTTCTGCCTGCTCGGCTTGGTGGGTGCCGCATTCTGCTGCAGGATATGTTGTTGGGCCGGTTGCGGTGCTGGCGGTGTTGCTGCCGGTATTGCTGCCGCTGCCTGGGCACGATGTGGCTTCGTTGTTGTTGTTGTTGTTGCTGTCGATGTTGTTATTGTCGAAGTTGCTGTTGCGGCTGCCCTGGTTGATTGCTGTTCCACAGCAGCTGCTGGTGTTTTCTGTGCATTAGTTGGAAGTTTGTTAGTTGTGGCGGCTGCGGGGCTGGCTTTGACCTCTGCCTTGCCACTTGAGCCCTGATTAGTTGGCAAGCTTAAGCTGGAGCTGGGAGTGAGGTTGAGGCTGGAGCTGGAGCTGGGAGGCTCAATCTTGGCTTCATTTGTTGACTTCTGCTGCTGCAGCAGTTTATTTGCGGTTTTAGTTAGCAATTGATTAAAGCCTAGCGTGTTATCGGTATCGTTATCGTTATCGTTATCGTTATCTGCAAAAATGCGGTTAGGGTAGTTTTCATTTTAGCTGGCGAAACTGGCAAAGAGAATTGCATTTAACAGAAGCCAATGATTGAAGATGAATGTAGATCGGCAATTGATGTGATTCAAGATGCAATTCAGGCAGTGCTAATGAAGCTGATTGAAGATGATGATCTAGTAGATCTCTTAATATAACCCCCACAGCTAAGGAAATAGTTCACACAACAAATGGATGGGACTTTGATGCAATGATGATGTCTTGAGAACTTAGAAATAGACGACTGAAAACAATAAATGAAAAAGAGAAATAAACAAACTTATATTGGAAAACTCACTTAGACGAGTTGAGAGAGGTAGCGGGGAGTGAAACACGAACAAATCTTAAAGCTAAAATAAAAATGCATGTTTCAAACGAAGAGTTTTTGTTCTAAGTGTTTTTTGTGTTCTTGAATAAATAGACAATATTTCAATGTAAATTACAACATAAAGGGTATAAAGAAAGAACTTGTTGGTTTTTCTGTGTGAAAGAGTTTGCTACACATACAAATCACTCGCACACACACGCGCACACACGTGTAACACACATCAGGCAACACTTTCTAGTTAGTTTCGAAATATAAATATAGATACATATATATATATATATATTTAAGAAAACATTTTATTTTACATTTTATACACACATTTTTCATTAGAAAAAATAAATTAAAATTGTAATTGATGAGGGGAGTTTGGGATTTTGTGGGCCCTTTATGCAGATGAGCTAAAATTAAAAAAAAAGTGTTACGTTTCGAGAGGGCAAAACAGTCGGAAAAAACGTATCAGAATTTTCAATTAAAATACAATGAAGTGTAAAAGTTTTGTGGTTGTTGTGCCAAGGATATGTCTGGCTGTGTGTGTGTGTGTGTGTAAATAGGTGTATCTCTCTGTGTGTGTGTGAATGCTAAATGCCAAGTGTGTCACACACACACACTCGCACACACCAACACTTAAATGAATTTATAACGTTGAGAGCAGCAGCGTCGTTGACGAGTGTAAAAAAGTTTAATTTGAAAACTTAATTAAAATTTCTGTGCGTTTTTTTTTTTTTTAATATATACAAACTGTGTATATATATACATTATATATATATATAGGAGTTTTTTCTTCAATTTTATGATATGTGCTACTGCTGCTAACTAGGCTACAAACCATGCTTGAGTGTGCGTGTGTGCGCGTGTGTGTGTGTGTGTGTGTGTGTGTCTAGCAATTAAATATGGCATTTTGCATGACACTTGACATCACTTGGCTTTAATTTATGTTTTCATTTTTTACTTTTAACTTGGCACAGTTGAGTGTGTGTGTGTGCGTGTGTGTGTGAGGACTTGTCTGTGGTCACACATAAATAACGATTTGTTGTTGTTGTTGTTGTTTGTCTGTTCACTACATATATTAGCTTCGTATCTATGAACTACCAGTTTCCGCCTCCTTATCCGGCTTGGCCTCCAGCGTCTGGGTTATCTTCTTCCAGATGTTGTCGAACGCATCGACGCCCGCATAATCAATCTGTCCCGACTCCCAGCACTGGCGGCGCATCAGATTCTCGTATTGCTCCTGTTCAGGTGTGCGCTGCACGCCGATGCGCAGCTGCGCCAACGCGCCGGCGAGGCCAGCCTATAATAACAAAAATGATCCAATGGCCAGTGTTAGACAATGTCCAAAGTAAAAGCGAAAGTTTCCAAAACAAAAAACTGTTGCTGTGCGTTACATAGAGGCATGCATGAGGCATTAATAAATTAATTGCTCTTATTTCAATTTAGTCTTAATTTTAGTTTTATGTACATTTAATTAGCTCGTTAGTTATTTGTGCTTGCACAACGTGGCGTATGATTAATGCACGCTTCTTTATTGTTGTTGTTGTTGTTGTTGGTCGCTGCAAGCTGCTCTATATATATGTGTGTGTGTGTGTGCCGCATGTCCCTGTGCGGCAGATTACCATGAGCCGACTACGCTCAATGAAGATGAAGCTGTAGAGTGGGTGGGTGGTTGCGTGTGTATAGATGTGGCTGTATAGCTGTATAGCTATGTGTGTGTGCGTGTGCGTGTGCGGTATAAACAACAATAAAAAATACATCCAGTTGACATTTAAATGCTTTTCAGATGCAAATGCCAAAGTGCCACACCCACCCACCCACGCACCCACACGAGTCGCATACGCTTGAACAGCTCAAGGACTACTTAATGCCTTTCTGAAAGAGGCCAAAGCAAGCAATAAATCAGCAAATGCAGCAGCAGCAGCAGCAGCAACAGCAACAGCAACAGCAGCCCGCAACATGATGATGAATGACGATGATGAGCATGAAGATAATGAAGACAGTGAACAGTGGACGGTGGACAGTGGACACGTTGTGTGATAATGGGACATGCAAATGTGGCAGACGACAGCAGCTAGCGGCAGCAGCAGCAGTAGCAGCAGCAGCAGCAGCGGCGTCGGCAGCGACAGCAACCAAAGTCAATTTAACTAGACACCAGACGACAGACAGGACGCAGGACAAGAGACGCGACGCGGCATGAGACGACATGAGACAATGCAACCCAGAGACAAGGAGAATAACAACAAATCTGAAGTGGGAACTGGATAGGTGATTGTGGTGGTTCTAGTGGTACTGGTGTGTTGGTGGTGGTGGTGGTGTTGGTGGTGGTGTTTATGTTTGTGGTGCAATTTTGTTGACATTTGCCCGTTTCATTTGTAGTTTTTACCTCAGCTTCGACGGCTTCTGCGGCTTCTTCAGTTTGTGTTTTGTGATTTGAGGTAGTTTGTGTCGTTGGGTGGTGGTTCGTGTGTGGTTCGTGGGTGGGTTGTTCTTGTGCTTGCGCTTGCTCATTGCTATTATTTACATCTATTGCTATGTACTCTTCATTGGCAGTGGTTGTTATTGTTTGTTGTTGTTCTTGTGGTGGTGGTGGTGGCGGTGGTGGTGCTTGAGGTGCGTGTGGCGCTTGTGGTGCTTGAGGTGATGGTGATATGGGTCTGGGGCATGCATCGCTCTGACACTGGCTCCAACTTCCTCTTCTCTCGACCTGCTCATGCGGAGAGAATTGTGGTTCGGGTTCGGGCTCGGGTTCGGCTTGTGGTTCGGGTTCATTTTGTTGTCGCTCCACTTGCTCATAGTAATCTGCCCAGGGATCACGATATTCACGGACATGCGGCACATATTGCTGTGGCTGTTGCTGATGGTGTTGATGTTGTTGTTGTTGTTGCTCTTGCTCATGATAGTAGCTGTCCATATCGTAAGTATATTCAGCATAGCTCGACGAGTGCGTTATGTTCAAGCAGAGACACTTTGGTTGTGATTTAAGCGATAGTTTGCGTTTTTATTTCGTTTGCGATAGTTAAGCGCATGATAAGAGTTTGAAATCAAAAATAAATTTAAATAACTTACAAGCAGCAAATAATAAAGCTTAGGGCTACAGGAAGTGAACAGAATTGTATAAGAGCTCGAAGCACACCATAAAGAGAAGGATACACAAGAGTACAACATTTTACAGGGTATTTCACCAAGTCTATACCCTAAGGGTTTACTGGAAATATCTAATTTAGAATAAAAGACATTTGGTTTTATAACATAGAACTTTTTACATAAAATTTGGTATTTAAAAAAAAAAAAAAAAAGGAAAATGGGTCACCCTAGAAACCGAATATGGCCCTAATAGAATATAAATGAAAAGATTTCCTATGTTATATCAAATAGAATATATATTGAAATGATTCATTATTGAACATAATCGAAAAATAATAAAGAATAAAAAAAATACAATAAAAATAAATCAAATATCGAAATAAATGAGTTTTTTCTACAAAAATAATTTACATAAATATAAAGAAAACATTTCTTGCTTTAGCTAAGCTTGGTTGACCAATATTCGTTCCACTTTTCATCGGCAGACTCTATCTAGACCCTTTGCTTTGCATTATTGAAATCCCAACAGAAGCCTCTATAAATTGACAATACCAATTTGCATGCCATTTGGATCATTTCAATTTATTGACGTAGCCAACTAAACATTCCGTTGGCGCCGGGCCAAATCGATGCAGAATCGAAAGAAGAAGAAGAAAAAACAACACAAAAAACGGGCGCACACACAAATACAATGTACACACACACAGACACATACATACATAGATTGGCAGGAATAGAGGAAAAAGAAAATACTCCACTAAGAGAAATTGCCTGTCTACAAATTCAGAAATTTAGGACAATTTAGGGCGTGTCTAAGCGAAACTAAAGTCAACTAAACTTAAGTGAAATATATTGAAAATAGAGTAGAAATTATAACGAGGTCGTTGAAGCACAAAGTAGTTCAGAGTAAATGCAATATTTTGTTTATTATTTACACATCATAAATCCATAAATATTATATATACATATCGCATAAATATCGTGATCATATATACAATGTGTGCTATACAAAAATAAATATATATACATGTGAATAGTTTGAGTGACCCTCGCCTCTGTGAACTCTACTGTGTGGTTGTATGCGTTCTATATATATTGCGTGTGCTGGCAATATAGATCAGCTTACCTCTGGTGGAACGCTTCTATCGGTAATATCACTAGCAATATCTGTATTATCCGGCGTTTTATGCTTTAGCATAGCAGCAAATTAGGGGTTAAAATGGACAGATATTTCGGTTAGATTTTAAGTTGTTTAGTTTGGACGAAACGCAAAACTCTCAAAGAACTGGTTTTAGCATTAAAGAATCAATAAACAACAATTTTCACACACACTTTGAAACGTGAATAAATTACGTAGAGAGAGAGAGAGATAGATAGATAGAGAGAGGAGAATCGGTGTGTGTGAATCGAAATGAAATGTAGTGGAGCGCACTTACCATATTGTCGGTCAGAGACTGATGCACATTATCACAGAAGATGGTCCACCAGTGTTGGATAAGGTCTTGCGCATGGGCATATTCGTTGGGCGTGGCCGCGGTCTTTGTCTGAGAGTTGAACTGTATGAGCCATGGCTTCAGTTTGCCAGCGAAATGCAAAATCTTAATCATATCTCTGAACCTGAATGGAGAAATGGAGTTGTTTATAGAGCGCACAACTCTAACTAACTAGACCTAGATCATCCACGGACTTACTGTTTGAATGCGGGCAAATAGCAATAGGAAGCATAGGCCGTCACGTTGTAGACAAATGGCAAATGCTTCTTGATATCTGCGGTCGCCCAGTCGCCAAAGTACTGATTCAACAGACCCTGATCGCCGCCATCGAAGCTGCCGTTCTGCACGGCAAACTCTGTGATCTTGGTGAAGGTGTCCACGCTGGGTGTGAACACAAAGACGCCCGAGTTGAAGCAGTCCGGCCAGCTGACATCTGGAGCAGCGGAGAGCTCCTCACGCTCGAACAGCTCATCGCAGTTCTTCAGCACCTGTAGAGAGGAAAGTATTATTGGTGATTCATATATATTTATACGGGATCTACTTACCAGCGTATCTGCATCGAGGAAGACACACTTCTCGAACTGCACCAGACGCCAGCAGTGGAGCTTTGTGAAGGTGACGCCCAGTTCGGGGCGGGCGAGAAGTGCCAGATTGGCAGCATCCTGTGAGTCAAGGACATTCACCTCTTGTACAACATTGTACACGTCCTTCAGTCTGTCGCGCATCGCCTCCGAGACGGTGGGCGTCACCAGCACAGCCAGCTGGTGGGCGGTGCCGGCACGCTTGAGCGAATGTGCCAACACCAGAGCGCCCAGCCCATAGTTATCATTTGTCGTCAAGGTAACCCAGGCGAACTCTAATGCAGAAGTAGAAGAAGAAGAAGAAGAAGAAGTTAGATCAGTTTGCTTAGATATATCTATAAAGATTAAGAAATAGTCACAGTTAGCAGAGTAAGCCACTCAGATACACAAAGACAAGTTACAAAGGCAAAAGCTTGGTATTAGCACAAGTTTCTTTTTTGCTGCTGCTTCGAAATTTCCATTTTCCATTTTCATTTCATCTTTTATTAGATTGGCATTCAGCAAGCGATTTATGGATTATAAATAAACAAGCAGCAGGAACATATATATATATGAGATCTATATAAATATAGTTTATATACAATGCGATTGAGTGAGTGTGAGAGTCAGTGTGAATGTGAATCTGTATGTGTGTGTGTGTGTGTGTGTATGAGTGTGCGCGCTGGCAACTGCGTCAACAACTTGTGGGCGGGGCACGCGGCGATCGCATGCAGCAATTTTGGCAATGTTTTCGATTATTTTGGGTTATATTGAGGCCCATTTCGGCTGTTTTGTTGAATTTGCAAAAAAACAGAAGAGGCAGCTGATGAAAAATTAGCAACAAAATAAAAATAAAAAAAAAACTCATTTCTCAGGCGCATCTGTTTTAGTCGGCAAATTATATTTTGCGTTGTTGGCATTTAGTTGTAGCACTAGATATATATATTTATGTACATATATATATTTTTTTCTTTACATAAATGAGCTATGCATTTTCACTATCCAAATAAAGTCTAAATTTTATATGGGAAATATTGCATTAATGTAGGCGTTGAGTAAATTTATTAACAAGCTCTTTAATGGCCTATGAAAATTATATTTTTATGATGTTAGACTTAGGCTTAAATAGTAAAGTATATAAATAAATAGAACAAATCTTACAGCTCGTAAATCTAAGAGCATTATCAATATTTTTTGCTAGGTAAAACATAATTAAAAATAAAATAAAATATATTTCTTTGCAACTTGACAATTTCAGTATTTCTTTATAGATCAATATAAATTAAACGAATTATTAAACATTTAATGATGCATAATTTCACCTTATTTTTATATACAAATCATAATTTGAAAATTCATAAAAATGTTCTGAAAATCCCTGTTATTTCTCTACTACATAATTATATACATTTTAATAATAATCGAAAAAAAATATAAATCTTTAGTCATTTCCTAGCTAAAATTCCTTTTTACTATTGATAAAAATAATTTGTAAATTTTAAATAAATAAATATCCATGCAAGAAAATAAAATAAAAATTCATTAGATCGTCGTTATTATAGAAAAAATAATAATTTATTTTCAGTTTGTATTATGGACAATGGTAAAATTCGTTGTTGGAATATTAATTTCTACAAATTTAGGAGAGTTCTTTGTACAGGTGGCTGTAAATCACTTTAGTTGGGGGTTAAATTCATGATTAGTTCATATTGTTGGGTTTTTGGTATCGCCAAATAATCTGTAAGGTTTATTTAGCATTAGAAAGCGCACCGGATTTGGTAGTTGAGAAGCGTTTAGATGTAGATAAATATTTGAATTTCAAGAACAACAACAACAACAAGAACTACCTTCTGTGCTACGCATTCGGCAGCGAATGGAAACGACGGAGGAGGAGAAGAGGAGCAGCGACAGCAGCAGCAGTAGCAGCAACAGCAACAGCTGAATGCATTGGTGACAGCCTGTGCCACCGTCCGGCAGGTGGCGCTCTCATATACAAAAATGTATCTGACGGATTTAATGGATGTGTGTGGGTGCAAAATAATGCGACTTCAGGGTGTTGTTCAAATCTTTTTGTTCATTTTGTTTTTTGTTTTGTTTTTTTTCTTTTTTTCTTTTTTGTATGCTTGTTCTTGACATTCTTTATATTTTATGTGTGCAATGAGCTGTAGTGCCTAAAATAAAAATGAAATCATTTACTTGGCCAAACTAAAAATGGTTTTTAATAACTTCGTGACTTACCGGATGCGAGCACAAACAACAATAATAATATGAAAATATCATGTCACAACAATAAAAACAAACCATATATATGTATATCTATATTTAGAATAAAATATCATCCATAAATTTTGATTTAAATTAAATAAACAACACTTGGCTGTCCAAACGGAGGAGACAACTGTTCGAGTTGTCTAAATGTCACAAAAAATTTCAAAAACGAACCGATCTTAAAATATATTCATATATATACCTACTTAACTGACACGGAATTTTAATACTGACAGCTGGTTGCCTGTGCAAGCAAACTATGCGAAATTGTTCGCAGTGTAACCGAAAGCTCCCTGGCTCGCTCTTAGCTCTAAATGAAAGCTCGCAGCAGCAGCAGCTGCAGTGCTCTCTTAAAACTCGGAGCTGGCCTCTGCCCTCTGCTCCGTCGCCCCTGCTCAGCCATGGCTTATCATCAGCTGATTAGCTTGCAGCACAAAAGGTCAACGGCGCCGCAAATGCTCAATGAGGCGTAGAGGCTGTCATTTGACCTATGAATGAGAACAGCTTGTGAATGGGGTAGGGGCATGGCCAGACCAACAACGAAAACTCGTTCATGCAACGCCGCCAATGCCAATGCGAGCGCCACATTTGGGGCAGCCGGCAAAGCGATGGGCGACTTTCTGAGACCGGCAAAAATCAGCGAGTGCAGCAATGCCAACATCCAAACGAGTTATACGGCAAAACTGAAGAAGCGTGTGTATCCGCCAGATATACGTATGCATATATATAAATATATGTATGTGTATATAGCTGTATCTGATGAAGAGCCCACTAAAAATAGCCAGAAAATGTGAAATGAAATTGTAGCGCGACAGCAGCAAACTCTGCTAGCTGCATGCAGCACACGCTGATACTCAGCCACACACACACAGATACAGATACAGATACTCACGCACTCATAGATACAAATACATTTTTAGAAATCGCAGCAAGGGAGCTACTCGAACTGGAGAAGGCAGCGCCTTATGATTTATGCGGGCATCAGATATAGTTACACACACACACGCACAAACACACACATACATATACAATATGTGTATTCATATGTATGTGTATTGGCATTTCTTGAAATTTTCATTTAATTTTCTGCTGCTGCTGGCATTGTGGGCGTTTTTGGCTGTGGAAAACTTTTTCTTCTCGAATATTGTGAAATACCACTGTGAATTGTTAGCGCCTGTCGCCAGCCATAATTTCTAGATGTCTGCTCTGTCTATAAATAGCTGCATCTATAACTGATGCCTGCGTATGCATATGGCATATGATTATACATATTTATTCGATTCATGACGCGTGTGAAAATGCCAAGGCAAATGCAGTTCTACAGGGCTCAGGGTATGGGCATAGGGGCAGGCGCATCAACTAAATGCGGAAATTGTAATCAGCCTTGATAATCATCATCTGTATTTGTTTTCTGCCGCCTGGCGCTAGCTTGTACAGTTACTTACATACTTTACTTTACATTACTTTAATCAATGGACGTGAACGACGACAACTGACAACAAATCTGGCACTGACCTTCACCACGCACTCTCTCGCTATTTCTCTTCAAAAAACATAAAGAAGCATAAGAAAATAACAAAAATTTGCTCACTATGCAAAAACGTTGAATAGCGATACAATACAAAAGGGAATAGCGGTAAGGCCTCTGCCAACTCTCTCAATGCACTGCCGCGCATAGCTTTGCTTGCGCTCTCAATCGGCCTCTCTCACGCTCGCACTCTCACGAACTTTAAGCTCGACTCTCTGGCACACGTAACACAGTGAGTACGTTATCAGTGCGTCAACATTTGTCTAACTCAATTTCGCGCATACTTTTCATAAACAAACAACTGACGTTTTTTGTATGTATGTCAGTATGTCTGTGTGTATGTTTTTATATATTTTTCGTCTTTTTCTGATGCGCCTCGTTTTCGAAATCTAAATGCTCTGCATGCACACACACACACACACACACCCATGCACTCAGAGGCGCCGTCATACTCATGCATACACGCACAAGCAGAGGCAGAGGCAGAGGTAGTGGCAGCGGCTAAGCAAATGCGATTGAAGGTCAGTAAAGGTCGTCGCCGCAATTTGCTGGCCCCAAAACACATGTAGTTGACAATCTCATATCAACGGTTACATATCAACTATGTATATAGAATCTATATGTATTTATGCGAAGATGCGGCGTTATGAAATATGAGAATGCAATTTGCTTGCGGCATTTATTAATTGCGATAAAAAGAAACGGAGAAGAGCTGCAGTCGCAGTCGCAATTGCAAACACAATTGCAAAGGGAAGGCCCAGCAGCGCCTCTCAACGTGGATATGGATAGGCAGTAGCCATGCATAGTACACACATACACACGCACACACACAGACTCTCTTTGGATTTAACTTTTTTTTTTTTATCTGTGTTCACTTCTTTGGTGGCGAACGCTCTTGTTGTTGGTAAAAACTTACTGCTCATTTTGTATTTGATTTATTTTGTTTAACTATTGTATATTATTTTGTTAAATATGTATATATTTTTTTAGCACACGCGGACCGAGTCCTTCGCGTTATTGCGTTCCGGGGATGAAAAATTGGTGGTGGAGGGTGGGGCGTGCCCGCTGGTTGAGCTTTCACACACTGAGTGACGAGAGCGAGTCGAATTGTCTGAGTTGCCTTGCGGAGAGATTTTTGCGTTTGGCTGTTCTGCCTACCACGAGCGACGACAAGAAACTGAATGTGTCAAGCGAACGAAAACTCCGTACAACGACAAGGCAGACTGACGGCAACTGCGCTGCCGTGGCCATTTGAACGTGGGGGCTGCGTTTGACGTCGCCGTCGCAGTCGGTTAGCTGTCGCCATCAGGCAGCAACCACAAAACTGTTGCGGGCGGCGAGGGCAATCGCCAACCGACGAGGAAGGCGCCAAAAGTGAATTTTGCATTATATGCTCGCTTGAATTTCATTTCTGTTATTCTCGTATTCTTCTGTTTCAACCGTATTCGCCGGCTATCTGTGCGCACTGCGCACTGAGAGAGAGAGAAAGCGAGCAGACCAAAGAGCGCCAAAGGTGCGAACCTATGCAAAGACAAACAGCAAAAGTCGACTGCCGCTCGCTCTCTGTGCACTCTCTCTTTAGTCATTGGAGCGCGTCGGCTTTTTAAGAGCGCAAGTGCACTTGTTGCATTAGGAAAGACCTTGAAAATTACACCCACGATAAGTTCAGCTCCAGAACCTAGCTGGCAAACATATTTGAGCATGTTTATTTGCATACGGGAATGATTATTCATGTTTATTCAAGAATTGTTGTCTGATAAGTACTAAGTGAACTTTGACCTACAGAGTGGCAGTACACAAACCGTAATCAATAACGAATAAAGACTTAGTTTTATTGCAGAATTCATTTGCCCAACATTTTCCTATATTTATATACATACATATGCATTGCTCCAGTTACATCTATAATTGTAGCTGCTCTCCTGCAGATTTCCTATAAGCATTCAAAAAAACATTGGCCAATTTTCATTGTTTATTGGAATTTATTTATTTTGCAACACACGAAAGTATGCAATGCAAATTTTGATTGGTGAATTTAAAGTGTATCTTAAAAGTAGGCAATATTTACTTTAAATTTAACTGCGCTCGAAAGTATGCTACAAAATAATAGTAAAGAAGCTAATTTTAGTTAATTAAATAGCGCTTAAAATAAATATACAAAAAAAAAAAAAAAAAGTTAATTAATAACAAACCAATTAAAAAATTAAATATACATGTGTTTTGGCATTTCTTCGCTAGAATGTGTATTTTGAACAGTTGTCATTGTTTGACCAAAATATGTTCACATCTACATATTGGAGGGTTCGCTCGCTTATGCTAAAAGGCAATTTTTCATTTGGCTCAAATCAGATGCGATATAGCTTCTATATACATAAAAAACAGTTAGTAAAATTGATAGAAAATAAGTAGAACAATTCCTTAAATAGCTTGAGCACTTGAGGCACTTGCTAAAGTTTTTGGTACACATAGTTGGTATATGGCAATTCGATAGATAGTCTGTGGCATAATATACTAAGGGTAACTAGAGCTAGGCTAATAAATAACTAGACTTTACTACATCGATCTTAACTAAGTGTAGGCTAAGGGTCATGCTGAGGCAGTATCACAGTGCAGGGGTTCATCCTCCATCCGATTGTTGGTTGCATTTCGCGGCGATATCACAAAATGTTTGCGATTCTGTATTGATTGGCTAAGACGTCGATGAGCGCGCCGTTTGCGCCATCTGTGGATGCAGTACCACAATACTGTAAAAAACACAAAAACAACAATATTTTGTTATAGCATATATACAACTCGTGGTGCTGTACTCCACTAGGCCAACTCACCCAGTATCACCAAGAAGACGCCACCGAAGCAGCCAGCGCCAAAGAGCCAAAGGCTGCGCACTTCGGCCAGCTCCGCGCTGTCCATACAACCACGGAATGTTTCCGAGTTAACGGTGCGATTGTAGGGCAGTGGACACACGCTGCTGTCTAGCGAATCTGTAAAATGCAAAATGCAAAATGCAAATTTCAAAAGTTGGTCACATGCCAAAATTAGCTGCAGCAGCAGCAGCAGCAGCAGAAGCATCAACATTTGCTGCATCTGCATCGCCTGCTTCTCCTCTCGCCTCTCTACTTACCCATGCAAACGGGAACAAATTTGGGATTGGCGCCGATCGTCATTAGATGATTGGTCACCTGCTGGCAGTCGCATGAATCGATCTGCGTTCGCGTCAGATCGATGACTCGCAAATGGCACAAATTGGCCAGCTTCTCGATGTGGAAGTTTGTCAATGGATTCGCCGAAACGTTTAGCTGCCAGAGATCTGAAAAGGCAACAAGAAATATTAGCTACAAATGTCAGATTTGACAAGCAGTTTAACTAAACTTTAATACTACGACTGACAGACTTTTGGATATTGCAGTTAGACTAAAAGTGGATGATATCTTCCAGTCAAAGTTGACTCCTGTTAAATTTTACCAGCACTGCATTGTCATTTAATTATTAGTTATATTATTTAACTTATCTGAGAATCAGCTAGAATATACTATATTCAAAGCTGACGTCATAGGCCTCAAAGTGTCTTAAATTTAAATCCATTAGATTTTCCTATTGCTATTATCGATATTATCTGACAAGCAGTTAAATATATGACACAATAAGTGAGTTATGGGTTTGCCAAAAAACACTATTTTAAGCATATACAAATATGTGAGCAATTGGTAAATGAAAAGAAAATAGAGTAGAAATGACATTTCTAAGCTCCTATTAATTAATTTCCAAGTATTCTTAGACAATTCCGGATCATAGCATAAAAAATAGCATGGATATCTCTTATGAAGTATGCCATAAAAAGTCAACTTTAATTTAAACTTTATCATGCGGTTTAACTACTCACTTGGCAATATGCCCAGATCGGGAATATCGTGCAGGTCACAATTGGCCAGATTGAGGTACTCGAGCGGTGCACGAATCGGTCGCTGCAGCGTTTCGAGATCTTGATGCAGCTCCCGCAGCTCGTTGCTGTCTACATAGAGATTGCGCAGCCTGGGCAACGCGAACAGCTCCATGGGAATCGTGGTCAGACCATTATTCGACAGATCAACTTCCTGTGCATCAATCGATCATTAGTTTAGTAATTGTTGAGCTTTAATTGAATTTGAGTGGGGCTTACCTGGAGCGCAGTGAGCGGTGCAAATGTGCCCGGCTCCACAGATAAGATCATGTTCTCATATAGCATTAAAAACTTAATATCGGTATACCTCTGGAACGAGCCACTTTTTAGCTTCCTAATGCGATTGTACGATAAGTCCAGTACCTGGAAATAAACAAAACACAGCAAATGATTATTTCAATTCGCGATTTATAATTGCTCCAAAGAAATTGTTAAGTCATGATAGGGGCATGCCAGATATGGGCATTGGGGTTACGGCTATAGGTATATGATTATAAGTAGGTATACCAACTGTGTAAGAGATCTGTTGTGGGTAGAGATATGAATATAAGATGAACTTTTAAAATAAATATGAAATCTTTCACTCTTGGGGTCTTGTGATTATGCCAAAGCCAAGTCAAAACGTTATAATTATATTATATATATTATATTAACATTATTATTATCGATAGCAAGGAAAAGGCAAGAGTTATTGATACAAAGATAAACCTTTATCACGTTATATACTTCAAGATATAAAGTCGCTCAAGTCAAGCAGACTTTAAGCGATGAAAACAGCAAACCTCTCGACAGACAAACAAGGATATATCGTCTCAGTTTTTCTTGCTGATCGTAAAATAAATAGTTTATGGCTTTTATAGAGAATCGAAGCGCCATAATTTGTCCCGTAAACTAATATACATATACATATATAAATACTTATACTTTTGTTAACTACAGAATCTCACTCTCACTCTCTCCTTCTCTCTCTCTCACTCACAATCTCTCTCTCTCTCTCTTTGTCTTTCTGTCTCCCATGCAAACAGTATTCATATTAATGTGGACCACATTGTCGCATATTTTATGCCAAGCCACAAGTGAACTCTCTTTATGCTTTAATTAAGCCAATTGAGCTTGGCTTTGTGTTTGTGTGTGTGTATCTGCGTGTGTGTGTGTTTTGAGTGGGGTCTGCTTATGATGTGCCATGGGGGATATGCGAGACACGAATTAAGTTTGGGTCATGAGATTTTTATTGGATGAAATTGAACTTATTTGTGGCAGGTCGTCAGGCAGGTCAGCTAATTGATGTCACATAAGCAGCAGCAGCACCAGCAGCAGCAGCAGCAGACTCACCTCAACCGATGTCTTCAGGTTCTGTGGCACCTCCTTGAGATCCATGTTGTAGCAGCGAATGCGCATCAGTTTCTCAATCCGTCCCACCGAACAGCGGCGCTCATCCTGGCTGGCGATGCCAAAGGCCAGCATAGCATTCACAACGGATATGAAGACAATGTTCAGCAGCAGGCAGCGCAGATCCATGCTGGAAATAGATTGGAGCGATACATGAATAAACGCATATACACATACAATATCGACAGAGATTATATTGAATGGGAAAACAAATATTGGCCATAGGCATAGCCGTGGAGCATCAATAGCGGCTGCTAAATCTTTATTTCTCTCGCCAGCTTTTTATTGCTGGCTGTTTATTTCCCCTCGGATTGTCTATCAAAATAATAAATAAAACCACAGTGGGTGAATGGGTGGTGGTGGTGGTGGTGGTGGTTACACACAGTAGCCGCACCAACAAAAAATAAAGTAAAACCACCCAAACAATTATTTTCGAATTAACAAATTACAAGATCAATGCCGCGCCATTGAGGATCGTCAGGTTGGGTCAGTCTCCCTCTCCCTCTCCCTCTCTCTCTCTCTCTCTCTCTCTCTCTCTCTCTTTGTCCCATTTACAATGCGTTTGATCAAGCGGAACTCGACTGGGCGTTTAGCGTGCGAGGGCGTGGCTATAAATTGAATTAGTTGTGAA